GGCTTCCACGCTCATTCGTTAAAAGCCCAGTTCTATCTGCAAACAGCCCACCGTTCAATGAATCGATGTTATTTTTCGATTTTTACTTGCAAATGAGCTCGAGTTTGAACGGAATTTGACCGAATTCATTACAAATTCAGCGATCTTAGCCATTCTTTCCATAGATCTGCCAACATTTCCACTGCTCATTCGGGCATTACACACATTTTCAATGGTTCAATCATCGAATCGCCAATAGAGCGTTTCCGTTGGCCGTTAAAAGTTCACTCGCTCATTTTCACCCCTATGAGAATCGATCAGCATATGCGAAAGGTGAAAACCGTTGCCTACGGAATTAATAATTACTATTAGTCGATTGAGGACAGGTGCGTCATTCGCCTAAACCCCTTCTAGTGACTCATACTTAAAACGTTGTCGGCACGATTCTCGCTTTAAATGAGGGCTGAAAAGGGAAACGAGCTCCGATAAGGGTGAAACATTAAGAATTCAAAGTTGTTATATTGTGGCCGGAAACGCGAAAAAGCGGGGGTTCCTTTGCTGCAGCCAATCAAATTAATATCCGAGATTTGAAAAAAAAAAATTAATTGTCAAAGATCCCACCACCATTGCATTGGTTTGTCGCTCATTTACATATAATTTCCATATATATTGAACGTTGCAGTCCAATCTAAATGTATATGAATGTATCGGGAAAATATGGAAGCCAGTCAATGAAGAACAAATATTAAATTTAGCCCCCATTCAACACAGGGTCAAATCCATATTTTCCTTTCCATTTGGCATTCATTGTGCAGTTGAACTGATGAAAATCGCTTGTATATACGAATTGAGACGAAGAACAGATATGTTGATTGACTGTAAACAGGGCAGTTCGTGGTGGATTTTTCCGAATATTTTTAGGGCTAATTTAATCATTGTTTCGGTTGGTAAACCACAAAGTTCCCACGAGTTTCCGGTAATTTGTTGTGCAAATTGGACACTGGATTTTGCTGCTGGAATATTCTGCTGGGAAAAAACAGAAAAACCACCCTTAACAGGTGTTTTTGTCTACGGTTGATAGAACCAAGATCTTCTAGCTAATATCGGGAAATTAATGTGTCGAAATGTAAAATCGTGAAAAAATTTCTAATTCTCTATTTGAGGATGTGCCAAGCAAAACCCCCACAAAACTGTTTTTCAGTGTAATTTTCAATTGGTCCTTGTAATTTTTATGGTCATTTATACTTCAGTAATACTTTATATTTTTTTTATTTGACTACTTTAACTAATAGGGGCTCACTTGGAAGGTACGAGAAAAATATTGAAACTTTTTTTCGATTTCTAGGAGAATTAACAGTTAACAGTTTGGAGTTACCGACTCAAATGTATGTTTTCGTAATTTGTAAAGAAATGAATAATTCGAGGGCAGAAAGACCGATTGGGTCGATAGCCTTTT